TCTCTCTCTCTCTCTCTCTCTCTCTCTCTCTCTCTCTCTCTCTCTCTCCAAACACACTGCACATCACACTATGCATACACAGTCTAAATTCAGTTACCTTTCTGAGACTCAAGACAAACTTTTAGCTTGAGATTCTACAATATCAAAAATAAAGCTATGCTGGGCTGGAGAGATGGCTCAGAGGGTAAGAGCATTGCCTGCTCTTCCAAAGGTCCCGAGTTCAATTCCCAGCAACCATATGGTGGCTCACAACCATCTGTAATGAGGTCTGGTGTCCTCTTCTGGCCCGCAGGCTTACATGGAAGGAATGCTGTATACATAATAAATAAATAAATATTTTTTTTAAAAAAGCTATGCACTTCTGAAATGCAATTGCATAGGATAAACATCTCCATTTCAACAGGAAAATAAATGACAAGGAAGGATTTAACTGAAGCAAGACCAAAACATTAAATCCTGAAAGACAAACATTAAATCCTGTAGATACAGTCCCAGAATTGGGGCACATGTTATTGTGATGTGAACTCTAAAAAAGTTCTGTCTTTGTGGTGTTGCCATTTACAGCTCCTCTGACTTTTCTCCTGGGCTGGTATCTTAGGTTTTCCATTGCTGTGATTAGACATGACGAGCGTAAGCGACTTGGGTGGGACAAAGTTTATTTTGCTTATATTTCCAGGCTACAGTCTATCATTGAACGAAGTCAGGGCAGGAACCTGGAGGCAGGAACTGATGTAGAAGCCATGGAGAAGTGCTGCTTACTGGCTTGTTGTCCACGGCTTTCTCAGTCTATTTTCTTATAGACCCCAGGACCATCAGCCAAAAGGGTGGCACCTCTCACAGTGGCCTGGGCCCTCCTACATCAATCACTAATTAAGAAAATGCAATACAGGCTTGCTCATAGGTCAATCCTGTCAGGGCATTTTCTTAGTTGAGGTTCCCTCTTCCCAATGACTCTAGCCTGTGACAAATTGACATGAAACTATTCCATCCTCAACGGACATTACCAGGCCTCCCAAGTCTTCCTTTGAAATCTGACTGGAAGCCTATATAACCCTGTAGCTGTAATTCTTGTATTCTATCTTCTAAGCCAGCGTCCTGTGGATCACACAAAGCTTGGATGGTATCTGAGGACCCTTGGGCCATCCATGGCGGCAGTAAACTGAAGTGCCTTGTTAGCTTGGTAACTTGTAGAGGGGGAGGCTGTTCACCTCATAGGGAACAGGAAGCAGAGTAAGGATAGAATTAAGTGTAACGTTCAAAAGCACTTCTTCACTGACCTTTGTCCAACTAGGCCCTACTTCCTAAAGTTTCTAGAATCTCCCAAAATAGAACCATTACCTGGAAACAATTGTTTAACATGTAAGCCTTTTGGAGGATTATATTTACTATTTAAAATACGCTGGATATATCACCTTGATTCAGGCCACTGGAAGAACCCTTGCTCTTTCAGCATCGGTCTCTGGTGTGCTAAGACACAGTTACATCCCTTTCAGGTGGTCTGTTGGACGCACATGTCCTAAATTCATTCTGCACATATCCCTTCCCTTCAGCAGTCCATGAAAAAGCCCAACATACAGAAATTTGTGCTGCAGCCTAGGCCTGGTGCCAAGCTCTTCCAAGTTAGTATTACCTACTGTCCAGGAAATAAGTCTGAATGGAATGCTTGTACATGCTGCGTGGCTACATCCAATTTAGAGTTCCTCTGGCCTTGTGCCTCTTAGAAGTGGGGAGAGTAAATAAAATACAGTGACCTTCTGTAGTGCTTTTTATCCCCGTAGGCTGGCCTTGAAACCTGGACCCTTCCGTCTCAGCCTCCCTAGTACTAAGATTATGGGTGTGTATCACCATGCCTGTCAATGACCCCTCACTTCAAATAAAATAGGACATTTCCCACTGCCATGGGATCCCCGCAGGCTTCCCTAGAGAATGCTGAGCTTTTCAGAGCTTGCCTTCCACCTCTTGGAAGTATGTTTTGCTAAAGCCTCCAGGGCATGTAACTTCTTGCCCACCAAGCCCAGTGAGCATGACCAACGGGTTGCATTAATTTTGGAAGAGTGATATCACCAGCAAACTTCACACCCATTATGTGAAAGTAGACTGCCTTTAATGAGACAAAGAACACTTTCCAGTGGAGAAACTGATGTGTCAGGCAGTCAGCCCTCAGATGTAGTGTGTGCTGACGTGGCCATGTTGCAGCGAACCACTAACACTTAATATCTGTGGGGCAAGTTATGAGGATCTGGAAGAAGACCTCTCCATCTCCCTCTCTGTCCTAGAAACTGGAAAGTGGCCTAATGGGTGGTCTTCAGAACAAGCCAACATGGTCTGCTGAAAGATGTCCCTGAAAGCCTCACTGGCCAGTAGGCCACTTAGTTCTCAGGTGACAGGACTGTAGCCACTTAGACCCATTATCCAATCACTGTGAGAGTTCACCTTCCTCTTCCAGGTGGGGCCTAGCCTCCCTCGTTCTAGGTTCTGTGTCTGTAAAGTGGCTCGGGTCAGGGATTAATATGATGCCCTGGAGCATCATATTAATAGTTTGTGCTGGCAAAGGGGCCTGTGGGCCCATGTCTGGCAGCACTCTGCAGCCTGTCCTCTGTGGTAATATCTCAGGCCCTGATGGTGTTTTATCGTACTGGTCTCCTCAGTGCCACAGATTTCTGCAGGCACACTGCTGCGGAAGTGCTTGAGCAATTCTTGACTAAGGAGTTAAGAGCCAGCTCTGAAGCATCCCATATGCCTGTGCTGTATTTACTTCCAAAGGGCTTTGGATACTGTTTGATACACTGATCACTGTCCCTGTGTATGTCATGAAGGAGGTATCACCAACTTCCTAGGACAGTGTCTGCAGGCAGGGTACTGTCCAGATCTCTCAACTTGACTTTTGAACCCTGTAGGTGCTCAGGCTCACACCACAGACTTCAGACCCTTGATACTCTAGGCAGTCATGCAGGAGCTTGCTGGCTTGCTCTTCATGGCTTGCTCACTTTGCTCTTCTACTAGACAGGTCCATCTGCATTATCCATAGTGAGGTAGGTCCTCACATCAGTCATTAATCAAGAAAATGGTCCTGAGACTTGCCTACAGGCCAATCTGATGGAGACAATTCCTCAATTGAGGTTTCCTCTTCACAGATGACTCTAATTTGTGCCAAATTGACAAAAGCTAATAATGATAGAAGGTTTATGTCATAATGCCACTTCTGGCCCTGATCACTGGGCATAGTTGGTCCTTAGCTCTTCTCTTGGTCTGACTGGCATATTTCATTTTCTTTTCTTGTTCCTCCTCCCTCATGGCCTGGTTCAGTTTGGACCGTTCCAGATGCTTCTTGCTGAACTCTCCCTCATATCTACAATAAAACCCTTCTCCTCAACCATACCTTGGAGTGATCATGTCCTAATTTTCATTCAGGGTGCTGTATTAGTTACTTTTCTATTGCTATAATAATACAACATGACCAAGGCATCTGTGGAAGAATTTATTCTGGCTTAGTTTCACAGGCATAAAATTTACTATGGCAGGAAGGCATAGCAGTGAGAAGCAGGCACGGTCGTAGAAGTAGGAAACAGAGATCACAAACTTTCAGCCACACACACAAAGCAGACAGTGAGTTGGAGGAAGGGCAAGGGCATAAATTCTCAAAAACATGCCTCCAGTGGAGTCTTGTCTGAAACTAAATCTCAAAATCAAAAAGTAGTACTACATTATGTAAACATATGTATATATGTTCTAATTTTGAAGAACACAGAATATGTATTACCCTTCCCAAGGGGAGGAATGGGGGTATAGTGGGAAAATGCTGGACCAAAAGAAGACTGAAACCCAGGAGTGAAAACTGTAAATCCTATAGCTCCATGTCTGGTGCCTAGGATTTTAGTTTTAAAGTGCTTAAATGGCATAGCCTCCCACCCACTTTGCTGCCTGCAACATACATCTCTCTTTTGGGCATGGTTGCAATCCCTGTCTGCAACGCTCCTTGGCAGATGCCTCATAGCTGAGCATCTCCAACATCCCGGGGGTTTCACTGCATCCTGGTGTAGATGTCACAGCTTCATGCAATGGCCTCTCACATTGCCCCTTTAAGGCTTTCATGCGGGGACTCTGCTTCCAAACACTGCCTGACCTTAGTTGTGAACATCTGTGCATATATATTTTGTGGATCTTTATTTCTGTTGAGTGTGGACCTGAGAGTGTGTTGCCCAGAGCATATGTTAGATTCAGGTTTCTTTGGTGAGTTCCAGGCCAGCCAGAGCTACAAATCAAGACAGTGTCTCATAAACAACAACAACAACAACAATAACAACAAACAAACAAAAACAAACAACCCCCCAAACAAAAACAAAACTTTGTAATGTAATCTATTAACTGCATTGTTATTTCTTACTTTAAACAGTTGTCTTTTCTATTCTTTTTGAAACAAGGTTTTATTATGTACCCCAGGATAACCTCAAACTTATGATCCTCCTACTTCAGTGTCCAGAATGCTGGAATTACAGAAATCTGCTTCTGCACCTACCTTTAAAAGTTACCTTTTAAAGGGAATTAAATAAGACGAGCATTACTTACATCTGTTTACTCATGCAGTACTAATGTGATCTTTATCTCTCCTAGAGGAGACACACTCCTTCTTGTGTGTCTTCATCTGTTTGAAGGACACCCTTTAGTCCTTCTTTAGAACAGAACTGCTGGTCACAACAAATTCTTTCAGCTTAATATCTTTAATTTAGCATTTTCTTTTAAAGGCTTTTTTTTTTCTGGCAAAGAACACTAACTTAATGAGTTTCTTTTCCTGGCATTAAACACACTGCTTTTGTTTTTGTCGCTTGAAACTGCTTTCACACACTCTGATTTTCACAGCCAGCTTTACAACAGTGTGGTGCTTTTCATCATGTTTGCTGAATTTAGGTGTGTTGAGCCCTCTGCAACCCTGGGTATGTATATTGCTCATCACCTTTGGAAACATTTATGGGTGTTTTGCTTGCAT